CCGTGGGATCCCGTGCGGCCGATCGCATTGCGGCCGGAGGGTGTGGCTACGGTGCCATTCACCTCAATGGCCTGCCACGCCCGCCCCTGCCCCACAAGAAAGTGAGCCGGCCGCAATGCGAGGCAGTGCGTTGTGGCTAGAATAGGGGCTAGAATCTGGTGTGAACGGGCCCTTAGGGTGAGCAGTAAAGAACCCCATGGGCCTCTAAATGTGCCCACGGACATAAGATGATGCAGTTCATTTCCCAGTTCTGATGGTATAGAACCGAGGTGGGCAAACTCCGGCCCTCCAGCTGTTGTGGAACTACAAGTCCCACGAGGCATTGCAAGATTCTCATAACCACAGGCAGAACTCCCAGAGGCAGATGCATGACGGGATTTGTAGTTTCAGCACAGCTGGAGGGGCCGGAGTTCGCCTACCCATGCTCAATCTCAGCAGCCGAGCATCCCCAGCCCTTATCTTTTGAGGACCACTAGCTATAAATTTGGAGAATCGGTCCTGGGGTGTCAGTACTTCCCCGGGGTGGCTTATGATGCAGCTATCAGTCTCCGATGTATTTCCAGCCAGATTCGGTGTCACCATATATGTATCTTTAAGGAAAGGGGGGGGGGGGGATACCCTTTAAAGATACACATAGGACCCTGTATAAGCTGCTGCGTCGTACCACTGGGTGTCCATAGAGGGCGCTGTGCTAATCAGGAATAGGGTAGGTGCGAGTGTAAGAATCCCAGAGAAGAGGCAGAAGGGGATACAAGTCACATAGGCTGAACGCAGCTCCTTAGCTGCCCGGGTCACCCAAGCTTGCTTTGCTTTCCCATGCGCTTGGCATCCTGGCACAGGTGCCAGCCCGGTGCCCTCTCCCCGTAAGAGACGTTGAATTCTGAGGGCGCCCGGTCCCTAGAAGATGACCAGCGGTGTGAGCCAGCTGCCGCAAAGCTGCCCAGCGCCTGCAAGGAGCACCTCCCTGCCCTGATCCTGCACCCCGAATCCCTACGCGCAGACTTCTTTTCCACCCCCCTTTCCTTCCTCCAATGCCTGGCCATGGGTTGGATGTGTGCTTTGATCTTGGCTTCCTCCTATTGCCAAACCGGCTTCGCCTTCAGCTCCCACTTCGACTCGGGTAAGTTGCCGGAGCGTTGGGTTGTTTTTCTGCACTGACTGTTTTTTGTTTTGCAGCAGAATTTGGCTATCTCTCTCCCCCTCTCTCTCTCTTTCTCTCTCACTCTCCCTCTCTCACTCCTGTAGACATTATGCCAGACTCCCCCTCCCCCTCCTCCTGCATATTATCCCTCCCTTCTGCGGATTGTGAGCAGAGGTCTGGATGGTGAGCCCTGGGTACCCGCTGCCTTCGCCGGTGGCTCATAGTCTATGCGTTGACCCCCTACAGGGGTCCGCAGCCGAGTGCGTGCTTTTGCTCCCGTTGCCTCCATCTATCCGGGGAGGGTCGGCGCATCCAAGGGGAGGGTGCTGCGGAATTACGTGTGGATTAAAAGGGTTGCAAGATCAGGAAAATGACACGCCAGCTTTGCTGCGTCTCGCGTGGGGTAATGTAGGATGAATGGATGACGGAGCCACTAAATTCCAGGTAATAACATCCCTCCCCCTCCCTGCATGCATCTCTGCATCATCGCAGTGCACACGGCCGTCGCTCGGTCCCTGTGCTGGGGGCGCTGTCCCCCCTCCCCATCATCACCTCTTTTTTTAAACTTAGACC